GTGGGGGCATGGGGGGGGGGGGCGCCAGAAGGGATCCTCGCCTAGGGTGCAAAATAAGCTGGGGCCGGCCCTGCCCGTGCATAATTTTATAAACCTCTATCACATCCCCTTTTAGTCGTCTCTTTTCTAAACTGAGAAGTCCCAGTCTCTTCGGCCTTTCCTCCCAGGGAAGGTGCTGCAACCCCTTAATTATCTCGGTCCCCCTCCTCTGTACTTTTCCCAGCTCTTCCATGTCCTTTTTGAGATACGGAGGGTGGAGAACAGAACATAAGAACATAAGAGACACCAATGTTGGATCAGGCCAAAGGCCCATCCAGTCCAACACTCTGTCACACAGTGGCCAAAAATGCCAGGTGCCATCAGGAGGTCCACCAGTGGGGCCAGGACACTAGGAGCCCTCCCACTGTTGCTCCCACCCCCCCAAGCACCAAGAAGACAGAGCATCCCTTGCCCCAGACTGAGAGTCCCTATCTATACCTTGTGGCTAATAGCCACTGATGGACCTCTGCTCCATATGCTTATCTAATTCCCTTTTGAAGGACATCCTTGCCTCCTGCCCCTCCTCACCTGTCCTCAGCAGACTCTCCTTCCCATACTTCAGGTGCTTCCGCAGCCAGTCAACGCATTCCTCCTCCAGGTAGGACTTCAGGTATTGGGAAGTGGCCAGGAGTGGATCCAGCTTCCGCTTGGAGATCTCGGCCTGAGGCTCGGAGGCCGTCCAGGTGAGGGTCTCCTTGTCAAAGGCCAGGAAGTCCCTCCCATCGTAGGCATACTGGTAATGCCCTCCCCTGGCCTTCCCATCCCGGCCGAGTTCACAGCTCACGACCCCCTGCAGGATATGGAACCCTGAGAGGGAGGGAGGGAGGGAGTTAGATTCGAGCATTTTAGAAACCAACAAGATTTGGCGATAAGAAGAAGGAGAAGAAGAAGAGGAAGAAGTAGAAGAAGAGGAAGAAGAAGAAGAAAAAGAAGAAGAAGAAGAAGAAGAGGAAGAAGAGGAGGAGGAGGAGATTGGATTTATACCCCGCCCTTCACTACCAAAAGGTGTCTCAGAGCGGCTTACAAACTCCTTTCCCTTCCCCTCCCCACAACAGACCCCCCGTGAGGTAGAAGAAGAAGAAGAGGTTGGACTTATACCTCGCCCTTCACAAGCCAAAGGAGTCTCAGAGCGGCCTACAAACTCCTTTCCCTTCCCCTCCCCACAACAGACACCCTGTGAGCAGTGTTCCCTCTAAGCTGAGTTAGTGTGAGCTAGCTCACAGTTTTTTAGCCTCCAGCTCACAGATTTTTGTCTTAGCTCAAGAAAGATGGCTCCAGAGCAAACTAATTTATGCAGTAGCCAAATTGCTCGCTCACAACTTTAATGCCAGTAGCTCACAAAGTAGAATCTTTACTCACAGGACTCCACAGCTTAGAGGGAACATTGCCTGTGAGGTAGGTGGGGCTGAGAGAGCTCTGACAGAAATGGCTCTTTTTCAAGAACAGCTCTTGTCAGAACTACGGCTTGCCCAAGGCCATCCAGCCAGGTGCAAGTAGAGGAGTGGGGAATCAAACCTGGTTCTCCCAGATTAGAGTCCGCGCACTTAACCACTACACCAAACTGACTCTCTGAGTGTGGAGAGGAGGAGGAGATTGGATTTATACCCCGCCCTTCACTACCCAAGGGAGTCTCAGAGCATCTTACAAACTCCTTGACCTTCCCCTTGTTCTACAAATTAATATCCAGTCAAAAATAGGAGACTGAAGTCAAAATGAGGAGGAAGATCTTGTATTTAATCTGTATAACAAAATTTGGCGCCCCACGTTATAGAAAAAATCTATAAAAACCAGAGAAATATGAATACTCAAAAAAGGGGGAAATCATTATAGTCCCATCTCTACTACACCCTCCCCACAACAGACACCCTGCGAGGTAGGTGGGGCTGAGAGAGTTCTTGACAGAGACCGCTCTTTTTCAAGGACAGCTCTTATCAGAACTATGGCTTGCCCAAGGTCATCCAGCAGCTGCATGTGGAGGAGTGGGGAATCGAACCTGGTTCTCCCAGGTTAGAGTCCACTGGGTCTCAAAGGAGATTCACGGCTAGAAGGGTTCTCTCTTTCCCATTAGTAGCCCTTCCCCTTCTGCATCTGTGAGGGAGGAATTGGGGGGTATCCGTGCCCCCACATGGGACGATCTGTGTCTCAACCCCTCTACTCACGCCCACGGCTGTGGTTGTAGCGATTCCGCACCCCCTCCAGGTTCACTTTGAATACCGGCTCCGTGTTCCGGGCTATCTGGGCTTGGCCGTCCCAGTAGTGGGGATCCGCGTTCTGAATCTCCCCCATCCAGGGGACTTGAGGAAGAGCCTGGCCGGTGTCTCTGTCATACTTAATGTAGAGCTGGCCGTCCACGTAGCCCACGGCCATGAACTGGGGCAGCTCCTGGCCGGGCTCAGAAACCACCAGGTAGAGATTGTGGAGGAAGTGTGAAGAAGAGCCTGAAAAGGAAGAGAGGGAGGCATAGTTAAGGGGATGCCGCAGCAAAAAGCAGACTCCAGACCACAGCCTGAGCAGTCAGTGTGATGCAGCGGCAAAAAAGGCTGATGTGGTTTTGTGGTATATCAACAGAGGCATAACATCCAAAACGAAAGATGTCATAGCCCTGCTGTACACCGCATTGGTCAGGCCGCACCTGGAGTATTATTGTGTGCGGTTCTGGAGGCCCCACTGCAAAAAAGGATGTGGACGGAAAGGAGCGGGTGCAGAAGAAAGCAACGAAGATGATCAGGGGCCTGGAGACCAAGCCCTGCCAGGAAAGGTTGAGGGACTTGGGAAGGCTCAGTATGGAGAAGAGAAGAACATGACGGCTCTTTTGAAGTCTTTGAAAGTCTGTCCCTTAGAGGAGGGCAGAGAACTGTTCTTGCTGGCAGCAGAGGATAGGAATCGCAAGAATGGGTTCAAATTAAAGGTGGAAAGGTACCAGCTGGATATTACGGAAATTTTTGTACAGTAAGAGTACAGCCATGGAACCGGCTGCCTAAGGAGGCGGTGAGAAGAAGAAGAGGAGAGAAGGGATTTATACCCCACCCTTCACTACCCAAAGAAGTATCAGAGCTGCTTTCAAACTCCTTTCCCTTCCCCTCCCCACAACAGACACCCTGTGAGGTGGGTGGGGCTGAGAGAGCTCTTGACAGAAACTGCTCTTTTTTCAAGGACAGCTCTTATCAGAGCTACGGCTTGCCCAAGGTCATCCAGCCCGGTGCAAGTGGAGGAGTGGGGAATCAAACCCGGTTCTCCCAGATTAGAGTCCGCCCACTTAACCACGACACCAAACTGGCTCTCTACACCACTACACCAGTGGGGCCAGACTGCAGAAGCCCTCCCACTTTTGCCCCCAAGCACCAAGGAGACAGAGCACCACTGCCCCAGACATAAGAACATAAGAGACGCCAATGTTGGATCAGGCCAGTGGCCCATCCAGTCCAACACTCTGTGTCACACAGTAGCTGAAAACCCAGGTGCCATCAAGAGGTCCACTAGCGGGGTCAGAACCAGTGTTCCCTCTAAGCTGAGTCAGTGTGAGCTAGCTCACAGTTTTGTATCCTCCGGCTCACACATTTTTGTCTTAGCTCAGGAAGGACGACTCCGGAGCAAACTAATTTATGCAGGAACCAAATGGCTCACTCACAACTTTAATGCCAGCAGCTCACAAAGTAGAATTTCTGCTCACAAGACTCCACAGCTTAGAGGGAGCGTTGGTCAGAAATCCGGAAGCCCTCCGACTGTTGCCCCCCCCAAGCACCAAGACAGAGCACCACTGCCCCAGACAGAGTGTTCCATCTGTACCTTGTGGCTAATAGCCACTGATGGACCATATGTTTATCCATAAGAACATGAGAGAAGCCCATCCAGTCCAACACTCTGTGTCACACAGTAGCCAAAAATACCAGGTGCCATCAGGAGGTCCACCAGCAGGGCCAGAACTCCAGAAACCCTCCCACTGTGCCCCCCCCACCAAGAATGCAGAGCATCACTTGCCCCAGACATAAGAACATAAGAGAAGCCATGTTGGATCAGGCCAGTGGCCCCTCCAGTCCAACACTCTGCGTCACACAGTGGCCAAAAACACCAGGTGCCACCAGGAGGGTCCCCCAGGGGGGCCAGAACTCCCAAAGGCCCCCCCCCCACTTTTGCCCCCCAAGCACCAAGAATACACACACTTTTTAAATAAAATCACATTTAAAAAAACTGCACAAGCACTATGTTGGGGACCCCACCCTAGGAGCACCTGAGTTTGGAACCAGTGGCACTGAAACAAAGCTTTGAAGAGGGGTAACAGAGCAAGTTTCCTTGCAGTGTGCAGGTCAGGGGAGTCCATAGCATATTTTGGGGGTGTAGAGCTTTTTAAAAGCATCGTCGGTATTCGTGGTCTGATTCACGAACAGGAACTAGGAACTGTAAATAAGGAACTGGGAGCCGTCTTCAGCCTCGTATCATATCGGACAGATTTCATGCGCTTCCGTCATCATGGTTTTGATTCTGCTACAAAGGAGCACGTGCTTTCCCGAAACTACTTACAGCTACTCATCGTACCGCGACTCTCAAAACCCTTTCCTGGAACTGTGATCCTGGCGCTGCACAACACCGAGTAGCGTTTACACGGGTTTTAAGGGGGTGGGGAAGGTTTCAAAAGGCTTCAACAGGGACGCTCAACAGCCCCCCCCCCCCCCCCATATATTGATGCATTGCCTGCTCTGCCTTGGGTGCAAATTCTGCTCACCTTCCCCAGCGGATAAGAGGTTTTAAGACCCCGCCCCCGGTACTTACCAGAACAGCCCCCCAGGAAGACAACCACTGCCCCCACGAAAAAGAGGCGCCCCCGCAGCAGCCCCATAGCAATCCTATGCCGGAGCGGAGCTGCCGGAGTCAGCCGGAGAGGAATCCGAAGCAAGAGCTACGATTGGTTCTGAGTAGGGGCTATTTAATCAATAGGAAAACGGCAATCCGGTGTCGTCAGCGGTTGCTGGGCAGATCCCTCGCCGCTGGGGAGAAAACCGGGTTTGAATGGGACCACATTGCAAAAGCCGCTCCGTTCCCGGGGGGCAGGGAAGGGGTGTCTGGAGGGAGGGAGCTGAGGAGACCCCCCCACCTTCCTCCCCCGAAAAGGTACTGGGGAGGGGTAGGTAAAGGTTTCCCTTGCTCGAAAGCCAGTCGAATCCGACTCTAGGGTTGCGGTGCTCATCTCCGTTTCAAAGCCGAAGAGCCAGCGCTGTCCAAAGACGTTTCTGTGGCCGGCATGACTAAACACCAAGGCGCAGGGAACGCTGTTACCTAACCACCGAAGCGGTACCCATTTATCTACTTGCAATTTCTTGCTTTCGAACTGCTAGGTTGGCAGGAGCTGGAACTAGAGACGGGAGCTCACTCCGTCATGCAGCACACTCGGGTCTCGAACTGCTGAACTACCGACCTTCCGCAGCCTGCAGTTCAGCGTCTTAACCACTTGAGCCACCGCAGCTCCACTGGGGAGGGGCATACCTGCAAATAATGGCTTGCCAACTTCCGCCTGGGAAATTCCTGGAGATTCAAGGGTGGTGGTTGTAGAAGGGGGGGGGGATCCATCTGGAATCGATGTCCTGCCATAGAGTGAAAACGAAGCTGCCATTTTCTCCAGAGGAATCGCCCTCTGTAAGTCTTGGGAGATCAGTGGCAATTCCTGAGAGAACTGCAGGCCACGCCTGGAGGCTGGCAACCAAGTGACCTGCCTGGAAACCTTTTCTCTTTTTTTTGGAATGGGGGAGTAGTGCCCCAGAGGATGCCTGCCACATCTAGATGAGCCATTTAGACTTGACTGCAGATGGGGGGGTTAGCGCTACCTCTGGGAGCGTGCAGAGTGCAGACTCTGGAAAAGGGCCAGACTGGTGGGGTGAGCACCTCCTCTCTGTGTAAGAGGGTCTTGCCTGGTGGTGTTCAGGTTTTGGAAGCCTGTTAGAAACTGTATAATTTTTAAGGTGGGGACGTCCCTAAGGTGGCGCCCATGGGTGCTACGGTTGCCAGCCTCCAAGTGGGGCCTGGGGATCTCCTGCTTTTACAACTGATCTCCAGCTGAGAGATCAGCTCCCCTGGGGAAAATGGCTGCTTCGAAGGGTAGACTCTATGACAGTGATGGCGAACCTTTTAGAGACCGAGTGCCCAAACTGCAACCCAAAACCCACTTATTTTTCGCAAAGTGCCAACACGGCAATTTAACCTGAATACTGAGGTTTTACTTTAGAAAAAACAACTCATACATTAACTTAAGATGATCCAAACAAAGTAAGGAAAGCAATCCTAAATGCTTTCATTTACTTAAAATTATTTGGCAGAGAATTCAACATTTTAATGATGGTCTGGGCCTGGCTGGGGCGATGGCACGTGTGTCCACAGAGAGGGTTCTGAGTGCCACCTCTGGCACCCGTGCCATAGGTTTGCCACCACTGCTCTATGGCATTGTACCATGCTGAGGCCCCTCCCCTCCCCAAACCCCGCCCTCTCCCGGATCCACCCCCCAAAGTCTCCAGGTATTCTCTAGCCCAGACCTGGCAACCCTAATGGGCGCCACAGCACCTGCCAACGGCTTTCCTGGTGCCCACCAGATGTTTCGATTATGGGCAGGGTCAGATGTGGATTTTGCCCTGCAGGGCTCCTGATTGGTCCTCGGAGATCGGATTGGCTGTGCAGATTTTTTGAAATGTCGCTTCGGCCGTAGCTGCCACCACAGAACAAGGATCTCCACTGTGTGTGACTGAAGGTTAAGCTGACTATACACAAGGAAAATATTTTATTTTATTTTTATCTAGAAGTTCAGTTTATATACTGCCCTTCCCTGAGTTCACAGGGCGGTTGCCAACAACAAAAAAAGAGTATAAAACTGAAATTAAAACAGGTTAAAATTTTAAAAAATCAGATGGCGCCAAAATAAATACAAATACAGTAGGCATTACTGTCCCACAAGTGGGAAAAACAGGGGGGGGGGGAGTGCCAGGTAGATGGTATCCATTGCTGCCCTAAAAAAAAAGCCTGTCGGAACATCTCTGCCTTACATGCCCTGTAGAAGTGCATAAGGTCCCACAGGGTACGGAGAAATATCATGTTCATTTTAAAAGTATCCTGTTAAATTCCTGCCTGAAATGTTGAAATTTAGTTAGAGATATGCATAACATCACTCTCTGACATTTTAGCATTGGCTCTGCCTCCTTCGGCAGCCATTTTGTGGTTGCCTGTGGTCTTCAGTGGTGGCCATTTTGTTCTCGGTTCCTCCTCCTGGGGTGGCCATTTTGTGGTCAGCTTCACCTCTTGTGGCAGCCATTTTATGGTTGAGCCCATTATCCTGTGTCACAGTTCCAAAGGTTAAGAAGCTCTGAGTGTATAGGCCCAGTAATTCTGTTAGTCAAATTAAAACCATGAAATATTGACAAATACACAAAAATTTCCATGTACTTATTACAAAATAGATTTAAAAAATATTGTCCCTGTTGATAGCCTCAATTCAAAATCAAATTGTAGGGACAATAATTGACACGTTTTGGCCCACTGGCTTTCCTCAGGGGTCGAACAAAGGATATTACAATCATTTCTTAATCGAGATGAAATTTTTCTGGAGAAAGGAAAAACAGAACAAATTATTAATTATTGTTTGACCCCTGAGGAAGGCCAATGGGCTGGGATAGCTCTTATCAGAACTAGGGCTTGCCCTAGGTCATCCAGCCAGGTGCAAGTGGAGGAGTGGGGAATCAAACCCAGTTCTCCCAAATTAGAGTCCGCCCACTTAACCACTACACCAGACTATTGGGCCTATACATTCAGATCTTCTTAACTTTGAGGTTCTTGATTCAATTCAGTCTTGGTTAAGTCCTCCCCCCTTTTTTCCATTTACAATTCAAAAGTTTGCAGGCTCAAAAAGTTTGGGGATCTGGATCCCTGTTCTAGGGGGAGACCCTGTGTGACAGCAAACTCAAGCGCTTAGTAAGAGTAACAAAATTTATTTATGTCAGCTTTTGGGAGTCACAAGCTCACTTCTGCTGATAAAATTGTACAGGGAAATTTTATAGGGATAAATTTTATGGGCCCTGCAAACTTTTTGAGCTTTTGGACTCTTTTTGGAATCTTGAGAGTAGTAACCACCACCCAATAATGGCTGCAGCAAGATGCTAGAGCCAAAACAAAATGATTTCTCAGGAGGAGGGACCAAACACGATACCTTCCTCCTCAGTCTGCAGTAAAACAAAAACCCACCACAAACCAGGCTGGACCCAAAAGGCAGGAGGACAACATTGGAAACAGTGGTCTATAAGAACTTGGCAGTGATAATCTTGGAAAGAAGTACCAGGAGTTCAGAGATAAAGGGCTGGCACAGAAGCAATTGGAAGACTTTGTGTCTTTTCTGTACCTCCCATCCATTCTCCCACTCCAGATGAATAGATAGGGTTGCCACCTGGCCTGGAGGCAAATCACACCAGCTGATAAATCATACATATTCAGCCCCTATTAAAAGACAGGATTCCCCCCCCCCCCTCCGGCTCATTTGGCATCCCATGTAGCAGTTCTGCCTCCACCCACTCAGGTGCTGTCCATGGTGGTTTCATCCATACAGAATAACTTTCCAGAAGATGGTGAAGGATTCCCGATGTGGTCATTTTAGGGAAGCCCTGTAAATTAGGACTTCTTAAAAAGGCACTGGGAGTGGAGGTGATTTTATTTACAAAATCGATATCAGGCTTTTTGGCCCGATACAAGGCCACCGAGGCAGTTAACAAATTAGAAGTGGAACATTATAAAGCCCATTGTAGTATCAGTTAAAACCACAAGCGAAACTAGTATAAAAACAATTAAAACACAGGTCAAGAAGGAAAGCTCAATAAAAGAATGCTGAAACAAAAAGAAGTCCTTCGCCCACTGGCAAAAGGTAAGGAAGGAAGGAGAAAAATGAATCTCCCAGGGCAGGGTGTTCAATAATTTTGGGGCCACAAACAAGGCCCTTTCCTGATTAGCCTCAGTTGGCGAGGGCACCCAAAGGGCAGCCTCCAAAGATGACCAGAATGAACAGGTAGGTTCATATTTTGTCATGTCTGGTTACATTTTGATTTTTGTGCTTCATGTGTTTTTGGTTGTGATTATTTTTTGGCAGGCACTTTTTCCCAAGCTGTTCTGAGTCCTTTTTGATGGATGGGGGAAGACAGAATAACCGAACTCACCCCTTCCCCCTAAAGTCCTTGTAATCTGTTTACTGTTTCTATCATACTTGTAATCCACCTTGAGTCCCAGGTAGACTATAAATGAAATAATAACAACAGCAAGCACTCAGTGTGATGCTCCCTTTAAAAGGCATTGGAAGGAGATGATCTGGGGATGCCCTCAGAGTCTACAAACCCTCAATATTCTCAGGAATGTGGGCATATCGGGAGCTCCTGTGCTAATGGAGAAGGAAACATCAGACAGGCATGGGGTGGGGAGCCAATTTATTTCTCTTTATTTCAACAAAATGGATCTTTACAGGCAAAATATTTACATCAAAAATATTCAAGGCAAAATGCAGATAATACTCTAGCCAGGGAAGGAAGAATTCTACGAAAGTGTGAAGACTTAGATGTCTACTGCCAGCAGCAGCCCCTCTCCCACCCTCCCCTGGGTATCTCATCTGATTTGGAACTGATCTTGGCTGGACCCAGAGGTGGCTCCTGAGAGACGATGGCTCTGTCACCCCCATTAGCCTCTGGTTGCAAAATCTGCTCTTCTTGGTGCCACCCCTCTTTCCAGCTGCCATTCTCTTCTTTGGCCCCTCAGTGTGGAATTCCTCACCTCACTAAACTGACATTTGGTTACTTACGCAGACATTACGATCTTTGCTTTCTGCCGAGAACACATCCAGCCTGAACACTGAGATTCTTGTGAACATTCTATGACATCGCAGCATCTCAACCAAAAGCTTTTAGGAAATAGCCCAAACTCTGGCCCATTGCATTTCAAGTAGACACAACAATTCACGGCCATGTATTACTTTAAAGTCAAAAAGAGACAGTGCATTGGAGGAGGAAGGAACGCAGCAACCCCTAAGCCCCAGACAGCGTCAAAATCACTGCAGATTATATGCCACATTAAGCACAGTATATAAATGAATTTGCTTAGCTTTTTAAAAAGATTAGCACTTCAGTTGCAAATATTAAAGTTTGTTTCTTATTAATACTAATGGTTCAAATATCAGGGCAAAACCAAAATCAACCCAAATCTATTAGGGGGAAAAATCCCACAAAATCCAATCGAAAGAGATGGGAACCAGAAGCCGCTGCCAGAAAGATTAGGTGGAACAAAAAACAAGAGTTGAAGGTGGCAGAAGCTCTTTGCGTGGGACAGAAGATCCCCAGAATCTTTTGAGTAGATCCTCTTCATTCTCTTCTTATGCGTCAGGCACTTCAACTAAAAAAGAAACAAAGTTAGAGTCTTAAGTGAAGCCACCATGGAACAGTCAACATGCATCGAAACCAGAGGGTGGGGAGGACGGGACACACACACACACACAAAGGCCATCCAAGCTAGTGTTTTGCTGGGGGGGATCTCAACCAGCGCCCCCCCATATAGATCAGGCCACAAGCAGACAGCAGGGTGCTCTGCCGAGGGACCCACAGTGCAAAGGCCTCCAACTGGCCACTCAAGCAAGCGAGTCAAGCCACAGACATCAGGGGAAGGCAGGAACTCAATTGGGGCGCTAACCCCCAGTGCAGAAATCCCTTCCCCAAGAGGCCTGTCAGGAAGACCCTGAGCGAATAGTCAGAGAGGAAGGAGACCCTCCACAAGGTCAAAGTTCAATCCATTTGTTCCAAAAGCAGAAATCGTTCTGGTGAGGAAATGACTTCCCAGCCACACAGCTGATAACCATCGCTGAAGGTGTAAGGAACAGGGGTGAGAGAGCACACAAAACTCTTTTTAGAATCTGAGCAAGGATCCCCGTGGAGACTGTCTCAACAAGGGTCCCCCATTTAGCAACTGACCCCCAACCCCAACAATAACCTACTTACCCCTGGTGGAGTTGTCCGACCCCTGGTCGCTTCCTGCAAAAGCGGGGGGGAAGGGGGGGAGAGTTAATATCAATTATTTCTGGACAAGGCCCTCCAAACACTTCACCTCAAGTACGAATACCTCCCCCCCCATGCATTTTAGACTTAAAAACGGCACACCAAAGAAGATTGGATCCTGAATCCCTTAAAAAGCCTAAAATTTGACCCAGATGAATGGGAGCCAGAGAAGTACAGAGAGGTGGGGGAAGGACTGTGGCTCAGTGGCAACAACTCTGCTTGGCAGGCAGAAGGTCCCAGGTTCACTCCCCGGCACCTCCAGTTCAGGATCTGATGTCAGATGATGTGAAAGACCTCTGCCTGAGATCCTGGAGAGCCACAGCCAGGCAAGTTCGTTCATTTGATTTCTATCCCACCCTCCCCCGCAGGTGGGCTCAGGGAGAGGTCGCGACAGGAATATGAGCAATAAAACCACATCATAAAACCATAAAGAATTAAGAATCCAATTTTAAAACAGATGGCAGGCCAGTAACAATCCATTGTGCTCCTTGCATTGAAGGTCAGGTGAATATGCAATAATAATTCAATAATGCAAAAATATAATTGTATAACAGTATAGGCCAAGGTGTAACCAAGATACAGAAGGAAGAATAATAATGGAAAGAAGAATAAAGTCCCAAGTATTTTACTGTGTCTCACTCCAGTAGTGTTGTAATTTCAAAGTCCAATTTGACGTGCAATTCATCATGGGAGGGGACATTTCAGAAGTCCCATAAGCCATAAAAAGCCATGACGCGTAGTCCGGATGCTGGCTGCCGCGTTTCGACTTGTTCTTATTCAAAAGCAATAGGCTATCAGGGGACCCAATCTCAGTAGAAGGCACATACAGAGCCAGTATAATCAGTCAAGAAGGATTATGGTGGGCCGAAATATAATAGTACATAAGAACAAAAGAGAAGCCAGTGTTGGATCAGGCCAATGGCCCATCCAGTCCAACACTCTGTCTGTAGTCCAGTTACTACTGAAGGAAACCCATTGCCCTCTACACCACTGAATGAGTTTGGGCAGGAGGTGCCCGGAAGAGTGGTTGCCCACCAGTTAGCTGAAAACCCAGCAGAACAGCTTTGTTTTACAGGCCCTGTGGAACTGTAATAAGTCCCTCAGGGCCCTGATCGGGAGCATGTTCCACCAGGCTGAGGCCAGGGCGGAGAAGGCCCTGGCCCTAGTTGAGGCCAGGCGGACATCTTTGGGGCTGGGGACTGCCAGTAGATGTTGCTCTGCTGAGCGTAAAGCCCTACGAGGCACATATGGGGAGAAGTGCTCCTGCAGATATGTTGGTTCCTGGCCACACAGGGCTTTTAAAGGTTAGCACCAACACCTTGAACCGGATCTGGTACTCAATTGATAGCCAGTACAATTGGTGTAACACTGGCTGAATATGCGCCCACATAGACGTTGCAGTTTGAAAGCGCACCGCTGCATTCTGCCCTAGCTGGAGTTTCCGGGTCAGATTCAAGAGTAGTCTCACGTACAGTGAGTTACGGTAGCCTAACCTGGAAGTGACCATTTTGTTGATCACTGTAGCCAAGTCTCAGGTGCAGAGGTAGGGAACTAGTTGCTGAACCAGCCAGAGGTGGTAAAAGGCTAATTTGGCAACATTGGTGATCTGGGCCTCCATAGTTAACGAGGCATAGTTAATGAGTTGGCAATACTGACTCTGACGGACCAATGGCCTGGTTTCGTACAAGGCAGCTTCATATGAACAGAGAACTGGACAGAGATTCCTGCAGAATAATCGATTGACTCAGGTTCTGCACTTGTTATCCTATTACCCTGAGCAGTTAAAATATTTGTAAATGTTCTATGGCACCCCAGGAATTTTGGCCAAGGTGGGGTGTGTGTGTTGTGGCTTACATACCGGTGAAACTTAGGTTTTTGCCAATTACAGTCTGCTTAAAAGTTCAGAGCAGCCAGTAGGGTTTCTTTAGACACTACAAAATCCAGCTAACCATATATGAAGTGATGGGGGAGCTTTAACGGCTGGATATTTTGGCTGGGGAGAAACGCTGCAGAGAACAAAAAAGAGACCAAAGTGTCAGCTAGCTGCCATTGTGTTTGCTGTTCCCTGTTTCACACCTCTTGTACCCCCCCCCTCCGTTCCTGTTTGCTTCATTATGCTTTCTCTGTAGTGTGCGGAACTCGCCAAGGTCAGACAGCTGGAGGTGGGAGTGGAAGCTTCGCTTAGCTTATTTTGGGTATCTAGCCTGTGAACTGAACCTGTGTTGATTGTGTAGAACTGTTACGTTCCTATAGAATGGGCACGAGTTTGTAGGTTCTATTCCCGCCAGCGGGAACTGGGCTCATTGGCCCTGACCTGGTTCAAATGCCTTTATTATGTTGCCCTTGGTTAATTGCAGTTATTCCTAACAATGTCCTTGTTCCGGTTTGAACCATCGCTTTGAAATAAACCTTGCTTTAATTCTGAACGTGGAGTTATTTCGAATGCCTGGGGATCCAACACAAAGTGAAACCAGAGCGGAGGCGGCAGAGCCTGGCTTACAACAGACTGAGGGGGGGGGGGGGGGGGGGAGTTGGGTTTCTGCCCCCTGGACAGGGCAGCACTTGGAAATCAGCCCTCAGCCACCCCATTCTGCTGGTTCATGTGGACCCTGGGATGACACATAAGCGTAGCTGTGACTTAAATCCCAAAGCTGCCCACGGCACAAGGAAGGAAGGCCCTCCTGCGGCCCAATCACTGCCCATTCAGAAAGTCCCGGTCAGAGTCTCAGTTCTGCCTCCCGGGGACTGGATCTTCCAGGATACAACTCACTATCGTTGAAATTAAATTAATGCTTTTATTGAAGAATGTACACCCTGCGCCTTTCCCTTTGGCTCAAATTAAAAGTCCTCGGATGATCCTTCGGGACGGGCTTTCCCTTTCCATGCCTGAGGACTGTTTTCACTGGCCATGTTTTGCTGCACAATGTTATTATAAGCTGTTGGGAGGGTGTTGTGGACGTTCTAGGAACATGAGAGAAGCCATGTTGGATCAGCCCAGTGGCCCATCCGGTCCAACGCTCTGAGTCACACAGTGGCCTGCTTGTACCAGGCGAGTCTCCCTGTAACTGTGAAGCCACCTGGCTGTAGACGACCAAGACGCTCCCTTCCTCCCTTGGGTGATGTAACTGGGGGGAGCTGTGGATCTGTCAGCTGATCCTTCACTGGACACCCGCCCCCCCAATCTGCATCTCAGTTTTTGTGACGACAGAATGTTCCAAAGAGGAAGGGACATCACTCACCTGGTGTTGCTTTGTAGCCACGCTCTGCCCTACGTTTCCCTGCAGAAAGAGAACCAGGGGACATGAGAGTCGGAAGAAGCACCCAGAGACCATCCAGCCCCACCCTCTGCAGTGAAGCCGGCCTTTGGGGCTCCAAACTCCCCACTTCCAGCTGATACTCCTCCAGTCTCCTTGTAACCAACTTCCAAGGACTCCTCTACGCCACTCTTGGTTAAGAGAACAGGGAGGGCTCTCACTCAGCCATGGAGAGGGACAGAGAAATACCACCCACCCCAAGTCTCAGAGCAGGAGGGGTCATGACTAGACCACTCCCCCCCCCAGGCAAGAGGCTTGACCCTGTTCAGAGAAGCCACAGGAAGAAGGGAGGGGAATGGACAGTCCTGGGATCCTAGAGTTGTGACATCAAAGGAAAATTGCTGTTTAAAATGAGAAAGGTGGTTTACGCAGGAGGCATCCCACTGAAATCAATGGGGCTTAATTAATTCCCAGGGGGTTTAATTTTGGGGGGGGAAATCCAGCCAGGGGACAAGAGGACCCCACTTGCCTTCCACCAGCCTGGAATGAGGATTCCGTAGGTTCGCCATGAGAGGGTTATTTCACTCTCATGTGCAGAAGCCGCCTGCCTCTCCTGCCTGGGGGGGACTAGAGGGGGACCTTCAGGCCAGAGGGGAGAGTCCCAGGCAGGGCTGGGGGAGACCAGATGCTCAGCCCCCCCCCGTGCCTGAGGCACTGAGAAGACCCCCTTGCCTGGGGGAAAGGGCTGTGACCTCCCCCACCCGCGACACGTTGGACAGGAGGTTTTTCGTGCCTGTTTCTTGCCCTGCCCTATCTGCTTAGCGTGACTTTTGTGGTCAGCCACCCGGGGTCCTGCCTTGCGAGAGAAAGGAGAGCGAGGAGTCTTTTAAAGTAAATTAACAAAGAGATACTTCCCAGCCCATGTTCCAAATGCCATTACGAGGGGAGGGTTCATGGGCACCACCAGATGTGGGAGAAACATCTGGCCCTGCCATCTTGCACCCCTCACAATCTTCACCGTGGATCCACCATAAGAACCTCTCTCTCACAGACACAGACACACAGCCAAGCCAAGGCCCCCCCCCCGTTCACTTACTCATGTAGACGGTGACCCCAACCACCAGCAGAATGGCAGCAAGGACGACCCCGACAACGACTTCCACAATGAGCAGCAAGTTGGATGCTGAGGAGGAAAGGGAGGAAGAAAGGTCACTGTTAGTCAGCCCGGCTGTTGCCCTCCAAGGCAGAGATCTTCCAGACGAAGCATCTCCGGTTGCTGGAAGTTGCACAAATTGCATTGGGAACATCCTGCGTGTGATGACAACCTCCACACCGAGTTCCTGCCCCCCCCATCCCTCTCCTGGAGCCCCCCCCGGACATTCTGCCCCCTACACCAAGAGTCCCTCCTTCCTTCCTGGGCAAAAATCTGCCTCCCACCCCCTCCCATCCCCCCCACCCTTTCCTGCTCTCACCCGGCTCCTCCCAGGCCAAGTCCAGGGGCTCTGGCAGGCTGTCGTGTCCCACCCGGCACTGGTAGCGGCCCTTCTCCTTGGGGTCCACCTCGATGCTGAGCCAGGTGTTGTAGGTCCCATCCGAGTTGGGGACGACACCCCCCGTCATGGTCTCCGCCCTCCGGTCCTCCCCATCCTTCATCCAGGTGACCTCAATATCCTTCGGGTAGAAGCCGTAGAGCTGGCAGAAGAGGGTCTCCTGTCCATCGTAGCCCTTCTTGCGTGCCACCCTCGTCACTGGGGCCTCTGTGGAAAGGGCAACGTCATCCTGGGTTAACACGCTGCCTCTCCCCAGATGACTGATTGGAGACTGGCCTTGAAGGGACCCCAGGTGGTCATCCAGTCCCACCCCAGTCTGGATGTATTCAACTTGCAGCATCTCCAAGAGATGAAACACTCCACAGAAGCGGGTTCTCCGGCCTAGCCTTGGAAATTAGATTGTGGTTCTGAGACCGGCCTCGTGTGAGTCCCTTCAGGGTTTGGGGGTGAAGAGCCTTCCTTAACCCACATTTCAGAGTTCTTTTCTAAATGATCCTTAGTACTCATTTTAGACAACCAAGCAAGAAACACACACAAAGACACTGCAGAGGTACCAAATCAGGCCATCTCAGGGCCACTAACCAGCCTGGTCAGCTTCAAAGAGCACCTTCCAAAACAAACAAAAAAGATGTGGCCAGAGATTTTTCTGCTTTCTGCAAGATACAACGACCTCTTTACATGCTCTAAGACACTCAGCCCTCACACTGATATTTTAGAGCTGTCTGTCTGAATGGGAAGGGTAGTCTGCTGATGCCCAGACACCTTTATCCTGAACTGTCACCGTTTTTGACATCAAAAAGCAACAGTCTTCAATAACTTCTCAGGGGTGGGTAGACGGGAGTAAACGGCAGGTCTACATGGACCCTCTAGATTTTTTTACATAGCAAGAACCCTCGTCCCCACACACACACACACCAAATTGACCATCAAATTACAGATCAACTCGGTATTCTCAGGCTAGGTCTTAGAAATCACTCCACACTGCTGCTGGGGTTCAAATGCACAGATCCTCCTGCTTTTTGCATGCAGTCCTCCAAAATGTAATGCCAGTTTAAAGAATACACGCACATCCACAGTCTACACCAGAACAATCAAGGATCCAGTGCTTTATGGCACAGATGCCATACGATACAAAAACAAAGATCCAAAGACTCATGGATCCTCATGTTTTTTTGAAGGATTCATCTGATAAAACTTCAGAACCACAAATTAACTCCACACCCACTGAGTTTGGGGGCGGGGGGGGGCGGGCACAAAACGCAGATCCAGTGCTTTGTGGCTCTTTCACAGCGCAAACACTCATGTCCACGGCACGAATCCTCATGGATGTTTACAATTTTTACACAAAGTCTTACAAGACTCACTGCCACATTCCATACCCCATCCATGTCTACACAGCGCAGAACAATAAGCACAGAACCAGCACTTTGAGCCACACCCACATGGCACAAAAACATGGATTCAAGTCACGGATCCTCCTGAATTGGTATGGTTTTTATACTCCCACATTAAGCAGCAACAAATTACTCCGGGGGACCTTTATGCTCCAAACTTTAACCAAAGGGCCTTTTTAAAAACATTCTAAGAGGATCTTACACGTTTTGCCGGAGGAGGAGTTATTCTAGCTGGTGGCTTTGATAGTTTTATAAACCATGGGATGGATAGGTCGATCAAGACATCAAATACTCCTTCTATGCCTTTCCTATTACAATGCAGAAAAGGTTTTCAATAAGATGTTACTATCAGTTAAAAGGTTGACACATCGATGCACACTCCGAGCATTTTGATAGCCATGGTCAGGAGCAATGATCCCTCTAAGGTGTGGAGTCTTGTGAGCAAAAATTCTACTTTGTGAGCCACTGGCATTAAAACCGTGAGCAGGTGATTTGGCTCATTATATAACCTAATTCTTTTGTCATACAGAACATTTAGAATGCCTTGGCACTAAAACATTTTATACACCATAGTCTGTGTGCATACAATAATTTGACCACTGAGGAAGGCCTTGGAGACCAAAACGCGTTTCATCGTGTTTAAATGTGGTTCAAGGCTATCAACCTAGAGACATCGAATTGTTGCTCCTGTTCTATTGGTTCAAGACTCTTAACCTAGAGGAATTAAATCATACGATATATTGATTCAGGACTTCCTTGTTCAAATATTCCCTGCTTCAAGGGTGGAAGGTGCTTACATTTTTAAAGTTGAGTTTTAGTGCACTTTGTAATAAATACATATTTTGTTTAATTTACTTGTTATAATTTTCTCTCAAAGTATCCAACTTTGTTGTTGCTCAGGGTTGGGTCTTCTTCCTTTCTGTTTTGGAACATAAATATTTACTGAAATGCTTAGACAAATTTGGTTTTGGAAGAATCAGCAAAAATTATTTCTTCCAATGCTACAGTAAAGAGAAATATATATAAAAAATTCACAGCCAGTGAAATGAAATAGAGCAAAGAGGCCCTTTTTCAGCATGATTCTTTAACTTTTCCTCAGAGCCATTAGCCACATCAATTAGAGATTTGAAGAGGAGATTGGATTTATACCTCACCCATCACTACCCAGAGGAGTCTCAGTACATTCTCCCCTTCCCCTCCCCACAACAGACACCCTGTGAGGTAGGTGGGGCTGAGAGAGCTCTTTCGAGAACTGCTCTTGAGAGAACTCTGAAAGAATTTGTGACTAACTCAAGGCCACACCAGCAGCTGCATGTGGAGGAGTGGGGAACCAAACCCGGTTCTCCCCGATTAGAGTCCGCGCTCCTAACCACTACACCAAACTGGCTCTCTCTTGCCTAGTATCAAGGGCATTGGGATAGGAAAAGATTCATACAAGATTAGTCTCTTTGCTGACAACATTGTAATTTTTCTAACAGATCCGGGACAATCAGCTGCCAATTTAGAAATTATTACAAAGGAATTCAGCAAAATAGCTGGATATAAAGACTGAAGAAGTGCTTTTTAATATGGATGTGCATAGTTTTTCTTCTCAGAACTGGATTAGGAAAATCAAGATTACAAAAACATATGCATATTTAGGAATTAAATTAAGCAAAAACAAGGAAGACTTATCTGGTAACAATTGTAAAGCAACAATTACTGAAATAACTAAATTTGCTCTTTGGGAAACGTATCAATTCTAGGTCAGATAAACACAGTAAAGATGATGCTGGTATCAAAAAATTATTATATAATCTTAAACTTACCAAATATGGTAAACAAGTTTATACGGGGCAGTAAAAAAACCTAGAGTCAACTGGTCAGGAGTACAAAGCAAAAGCAAAGAGGGTGAACTGGGTCTTCCTAATTAAGTAACATTATCACAATGTCACATGACTGGTTTGAATATCATGAAAACTCGATTCTTAATGGGTTATTGAAGATTTGGGAGAGTTATAGGGAAAACGTGGTCACCTGCCATCCGCAGTGAGAGATCTTGATAAATAGCAACATTTTAAATGTGACTCATTAGCAAATGGGGTATCTTATGGTATTGATATGTCTATGACATTAATTACCCTGGACTTTCAGGAAAGGGAATTAACTAAGCAATGGCAATATAAATTGGTTTCATTTCTTACAACTTAAGAGCTTCTTGAAGAAAAGTATACATGGAAGTTTAAGAATACGAAAATTAACAGAAATTGGAGACCGTATCCATGTCAAAAACAAGAGTGACTACTTTCTAAAATCAGTAAAATTCTATATAAAGAGGGTACAGCAACTCAAACAATCATTTCAATCTAAACAGGGGAAAGATTTGAAATACGAAATTCCAGAGGAAAGGGAAATGTATTTTTACACATAGTTCATTCATTTCTCTCCAATTTTGAGAACATTCAATAAACATGCTACATGAATGGCACTTGACAGCATGCATAACAGTAGAAATTTATTTTTAAAAACCCATATGACACTTATGTCGGTACTGCGGACTACCAAATGCAGGCTATTTGCATATGCGGTGGACGTGCCGAAAAAATACCGGTTACCAGTTGCAGACATGATGAAATGTAGATGAGCTATTCCTCTGAGGATATCTTGTTAAACAGTATACCCCTGTTTCCAAAAGAATTTCAAACTATGATCTTTCCTATCATGATAACTGCTGCTAGAATGACCTTTGCGAGATACTGGAAGTCAGACAATACTCTATCAATGGAAGAATGGATCAGGAAATGTAAAGGAACCTTTTTGGTACTCAAGTTGACATTCTTAAGAAGGGGGAAGGAGAAATCTCAACTGAAGACAGCTTGGCAAATGGAGCATTAAGGTTTCAGTTCAACGTTGGGAGGCTCCACTTAAATTCTCACAGGTGCCACTTCTGCCGGATCCCCTTCCAGGGAAAAAGGCCCGTTTTGGGGAGCAAGGGCAGGCCCACTGCTCTCGACTCCACCCCCCTCAAGCTCTGGAGCCCCCCCATTTACAGCCATTCCCCCCCTCCCCCGACAGATGGGTCAGGCCTTTGGGCTGCCAGTAATGGGGCAGGGAGAGGCGGGCAAAGGAAAAGGAGACGATTCATCCTAATCAGTTAGCAAGGCGTTAAACAGAGAGGGGGGAACAGGGGCATATTTCCCCCCCCCATGCCCCAAGGAAGGCTTTTCTAAAGAAAGCAGCAGCAGTCCTGGGGGAGGGGGGGACGGGGACTGGCAGACTGTACCACTTTTGCTAAGGAAGAGAGGAGTCCCGCCTTTAAGCCCACAGCCAACCCCTTAAAAAACCCTGGAGGCCGGAAGGGGGATGTGTGGTGGGAGGGGGGGCACAGCCGGATGGGCTTCCCAGATCTGGAGCAAACCCGGAGTCCAGCAGCACCTTCAAAACCCACCCAAGGCATTCCAGGCAGCTTCAGGTGGCACCCCCAATGAAGACAGATGCAGGCGGTCCCCCCCCCCCCCTTGGAAGCAGGACAAAGGTTTGTCAGCCCCGGGGTTTTTTCGACAGCCCTTTGCCCCTCCCCAGGGTGGATGTACCCCCCCACTGGGGGTCCTCCTCACCTGTCCTCAGCAGGGTCTTGCTGCCATAGCCCAGGTACCTCTGCAGCCACTCCACGCAGGTCCCCTCCAGGTAGGACTTTTGGAACTCGGCATCCTGGGTCTCGGTCTCCCACCTGCTCTTGGTCACCAGGGCCTGGGGCACGCGGGCCGTCCAGGTTACGGTCCCTCTGTCGAGTGCAAGGAAGTCCTCCCCGTCGTAGGCGTACTGGAAGCGCCCCTCTCTGAGCTGCCCGTCCGGCCCCACCTCGCAGCCGTACATCAGCTGCAGGGTGTGGACCCCTGTGTGCAAGAGACACGCCAGAGGTGAGAGGGGGAGGACATTTGGGGGAGGGGTGTTTGCGGCAGGCGTCTCTTTCCCCACTTGAAGAAAAGTGTGTGTGTGGGGGGGGAGCCTGCGGAAAGGCCAACCCCTCCCGTCTGAAGTCTCTCTGCTCTTCACAGGGACCGCTAGGGTGGCCAACTCCAGTCTGAGAAATCCCTGGAGATTTGGGGGAACCGAGACGGGTGGGGTGGGGCAGGGTGAGATCTCCCGTCAAGTCCGTAAGAGTCCACCTATCCAAAGCAACCCTTTCCTCCAGGTGAATTGATCGCTGTAGCCTGGAGATCTGTTGTAATTCTGGAAAATCCTCAGGCGCTGCCTGGAGGCCGGCAGCCCACCCCAGGGGCCGCCCAGAAGATTCGTGCCCCGTGGCCTCCCCCCCCCCAACCCACCTCTTAGGAGAAAAACAATAGGATGGGGAGAGGCAGGTGGAAGCAGATGCTCCCCCTCCCCATTTCGCTGATTGTGGTTTTGCATACCTTGGGAGGAGGGATTTACTAGCGTAAGAAAGGGGTTGGGGGCAATCACTGGCTTGGGGCATGCCTAGGAAGGAGAAAGGCCCTTCCTCCCACTGCCCCCCCCCAGGGTCCTCCAATGGATTCTCCATGGGGGAGGGGACCCCCTTTCCATCCCTTAGCTCAAAGGGATGCTTCTGGCTTGCGAGAGGAAATAAGACACAGCATGTTATCAGAAAGACATCACAGGAGAAGGCATGGATTATAGAAAGCAGAAATCAAAATTTCTATACAGGGCCTTTTCCCTAGTTCTACATACAACAAATTATACGAGCACTGTATACAATAAATAACCCCTCTAGAGCAGGGTTGATGAACTCATTTGTTATGAGGGCTGGATCTGACATAAATGGGACTGGAGGCAGACGGGGCAGGGTATAAAATAGGGTTGCCAACCTCCAGGTGGGACCTGGGGATCTCCTGGAATTACAACTGATCTTCAGACTACAGAGATCAGCTCCCCTGGAGAAAATGGCTGCTCTGAAAGGGGGGGCTGTGTGGCATGGCACCACGCTGAGGCCCCCCCCCCAACCCCTCCAGATATTTTCCAACACAGACCTGGCAACCCTAGCTCTCCGGCAGGAATCCCTGCCTGGACCTGCATATTTATTTATTGATTAATTACTTTTCATTTATATCCCACCTTGCAGGGCAAACTGGCTCAAGTTTGGTTTTGGGCTATGGGAGGGGATCTGCGTTCATGCAAAAGAGTCAGATTCCAAGTGAAAATAATAATCTAATCAGAACAGTCACGATGTCATTCCTTTCTTTGGCAGCCAATGAGATTTCATCCCGGCAGCACACACCCCCCCTGAAAATTAAAAGGGGGGGGGGAAGCAACCTCTCAGTTTTTACTAAGTTTAAGTAATTTTTGGACTCCAATTCCAAATGTGTGTGGGGGGGATGGGGATGACAGAAATCTCTGCACTGAACAAAATGTAGGATGTTTTACACGGGGTCAGACTATAATCCCCCATAGCCACATATAATATGTTACGTGGCTGGGAGGGACACAGGCTTGAAGGCCGGGGGGGGGGGGCTTTTTCAATGTTTCTCAATGGAAAAATTGGAAAATTTGGGTATCCACTGGGGGGGAAACCCACCAACCTGCGGTGATATATTTTCTCTTTTAAAATTAAGAAAAATGTTTCTTTTTTTTTTTTGGTAAACAAATTTTATTTTCTCAGGAATACAACATATAAAACATTTCATTCTATCAATTGTCTACCCCATTCCCAGTTCCTCCCCTCCCTCCAATGGCTTCCCACAATGCTTCCACCCCTGCTCCAAATTACTTCATATCATCAACAATATCAGTTTTTCATCATTACAATCTAAAGATAACATCGTTTGACTTAATATTGATCTAAACATATTAAGTTTTGTTTCACATCCCAGTTCTTTTCCAGATAAATTTTAAAATCATTCCATTCTCCAAAAAACTCATCGTCTTCTTTGTTATTCAGTTTTTTTGTAATCTTATCCATTTGTGCCATGAACAGAACTTTTTGTATCCATTCTTCAACCTCTGGTACCTTTTCTGTCTTCCAAAACTGAGCATAAATCATTCTCGCTGTCACTATCAGGTACCAGAGTAAAGTTTTTTTAGTCGTATTGACTTCTTCCATTTTGAGTCCCAAAAGCAGAATTTCCGGTGCTTTTTTAAAAGAACATTTCAGTATTTTTTGCATTTCATTGTGGACTTTTGTCCAAAAGTCTACAGCTTTCTCACAAGTCCACCACATATGATAAAATGAGCCCTCATGCCTCTTACATTTCCAGCATTTGTTTGACATATTTTGATTCATATTTGCAATCTTCTTAGGTGTCATGTACCACCTATACATCATCTTATAACAATTTTCTTTAACATTAGTACATGTCGAGATCTTAATAGAGTTTTTCCACAAATATTCCCAAGTTTCCATATCTACTTCCTTATTCATATTAATAGCCCATTTTAACATTTGTTCTTTAACAGTTTCATCTTCAGTATACCATTTTAACAACACCTTATACATTTTAGAAATATTTTTTCCTCCTCCACTCTCCCATACCTTTTCAATTTCATTTTTTTCCTCTCTAAAACCATAGTTTTTTTTGTCAGATCTAAAAAGATCATAAATCTGCATATATTTCAACCACTCATATTCATATTCAATTTCATTCTGCTTTTTCATTACCCACTCTGTTCCCTCTTTTTTAATTAAATCTCTATATGGCAACCAGTCTCTACCTCGCTGTCTTGAGTAAGATATCAACACTTCTACTGGTACAATCCACAATGGTCTTAAGTCACTCTGGTACTTCTTATATCTTGTCCATACCATATACAAAGCTTTTCTCACCAAGTGAAGTTTAAAAAAACTGTCCATTTTTATCTTGTCATACCATAAATATGCATGCCAGCCAAATCTACAATCATGCCCTTCCAACCCCAACAATCTGTCATTTTCAAGCTTCACCCATTGATCCATCCATGTTAGACAAACCGCTTCATAATATAGTCTAAGATTTGGCATTTGTAGACCTCCTCTTTCTTTGGCATCACAAAGTATTTTCATTTTGATCCTTGGTTTCTTGCCTGCCCAAACAAATTTTGACAACTCTTGTTGCCACTTGGCCAACAAATCCGTTTTATGCAGAATTGGTATTGTTTGGAACAGGAACATCAAACGTGGTAGGACATTCATTTTTATAACTGATATTCTTCCCATCAGTGATAAGTTCATTTTATCCCATTTCTTAAAATCTTGAGTCAGCTTAGTCCATAATTTCTCATAATTATTCTTATATAGGTCTATATTTTTTGCCGTTAATTCAATTCCAAGGTATTTTGTTTTTTTAACTACTTCACATTGTACCAGTTCTTGTAGTTCCACTTGTTTTTGTTTGATCATGTTTTTACATATAAGTTTTGTTTTATTCTTATTTACGTAAAAGCCGGCCAATTCTCCAAACTCCTTTATTTTTTGAAAAAGCAATGTCAATTTTTCTGTTGGGTTTTCCACCATAAACATTACATCGTCTGCAAATGCTCGATATTTGTATTGGTGTCCTTTATGTGTCAAGCCCTTTATTTCTTGATCGTACTGTATTTTTTGTAAAAGTATTTCCAATACCCAGATAAATAATAACGGTGATAACGGACAACCTTGCCTTGTTCCTTTCTGTACTTTGAAGTTATCTGTCAGTTCTTTATTCACATTTATTTTAGCTCTTTGTTCAGAATAGATAGCTTCAATACAATTTCTAAAATGTTGTCCCGCTTCAATCTTTTCCATCATCTGGTGCATAAAATTCCAATTAAGATTGTCAAAAGCTTTTTCTGCATCAACAAACAGAAAAGCTACTTCTTTTTCTGGGTGCTTTTCATAATATTCAATTGCGTCCATTACTATTCTTACATTGTCTCTAATCTGCCTTTTGGGTAAAAAGCCCGCTTGATCTTCAGAAATTACCGTTTGTAAATAGTTTTTCACCCTTTCTGCAATAATTTTTGCAAAGATTTTATAATCGTTGTTCAAAAGAGATATTGGCCTGTAGTTCTTTACATTTGTTGAATCTTGTCCTTCCTTTGGAATCAAAGAAATAATTGCTTCTTTCCATGAGTCCGGCACCTTTTTGTTTTCTCTTATTTCGTTGGTTAAAGCTTCCAGGACCGGGGAAATTTCTTCTTTCATCTTTTTGTAGAATTTCGCTGTAAATCCGTCCGGCCCAGGCGCCTTCCCCAACTTTGTCTCTTCTATTGCCTTCATCACTTCTTCTTTTTGAATTGGACCATTTAATAAATCTTTGTATTCCTTACTTATTTTTGGTAGTGGAATCTCCTTTAAATATGTTTTAATCTTCTCAAGATCAACTCTAGTTGTTTGGAATAGTTTAGCATAATACTTGAAGAAACATCTCTTTATTCCATTAGGATCAACGAACTCTTTTCCATCTTCTATTATTTTGGTTATCATTCTTCTCTCTCTTCTAGCCTTAAGTTGCCAAGCTAAGTATTTTCCCGGTTTGTTCGCCCCTTCAAAAGATTTCTGTTGTAACTTCTTTAAATTCCAATACATTTCCTGATTCCAAGTCTCATTCAGTTGTTCCTTCAGCAACTTTAATTCTTTAATAATTTGCTTTTTTCCAGGCTTCTTTTTTAATTCCTTTTCTTTCTGAGCAATTTTTTCTAACACTTCTGTTTGTTTTTGAAGTTTTTCCTTTTTTTGCTTCACGTTTTGCGAGATGAGAATTCCTCTCATCACCGCTTTATAAGCATCCCATACAATCTGTATCGGTGTTTCTTTATTTAAATTTTGTTGAAAGAATTGTTTCGTTTCTTCCTTTAACATCTCAATTACTGTTTTCTTATCCAACAAGTCTTCATTAATCCTCCACAGAAAGGGTTTTTTCCTTTCTGTGGAACTCCATACCACCGGATTGTGATCTGAATTACA